GCTGGAGATTCCAGGGAGGCCTCCAGGAGGGCATCGGAGGGCCGAGAGGAGCCCTGTCGGCAAAGCGCGGCGCAGGTCCTATAGATCCTCCCTCCTCAGGAGCGTAGCACAAGTTCTGGGTACTCCTCCCTCTTCCTCCTCCTCCTCCTCCTCCTCCTCCTCCTCCTCCTCCTCCTCCTCCCCCTTCTCCTCCTCCATTCCTTCTCCTTATGAATCACTCCTCCCTGTCGCATCCCGAAGACCATTTATGACTCTGAAGCTGAAAAAATAAGCAGCAGCTTCACAGATGGAGGGCGGGTCGTTTCAAAATGTGGCTCTCGCCTTAGCGTCAAGCACATTCGTCGTACACATTTGCAAGAGTTTCAAGGATTGAGGGCGAGTCATTTTCAAAATGTGGCTCTCCCCTTAGCGTCGCGCACACTCGTCTTTAACATTTGCAACAGTGTCACGGATTGAGGGCGGTTCCTTTTCAACATGTGGCTCTCGCTTTAGCGCCGCGCACATTCGTTTAAAACACCTTCGAAAGTTTCACATATTGAAGGCGATTCCTTTTCAACATGTGGATCTCGCCTCAACGCCGCGCACCTTCGTTCAAAAAACTGCAAACGCTTCACGGAATGAGGGCGGCTCCTTTTCAAAATGTGGTTCTCACTTTAGCGCCGCGCAAATTCGTTCTACAATCTTGCAAGAATTTCACGGATCCCCATGATCAACGTGCCAGAAATGGTGTTTTGGTGGGATGCAGGCTTATGAGGGTGCAAAGTTATGTTGATTCACTGTGTTCAAGTCCCAGGAATGGCGTTCTGGCACGACTTAGTATCGTCAAGACGCAACAATCAGGTTGATCCGTGGCGCTGGAATCCCGAGAACAATGTTGTGGCATGCTTCAGGGTTTCAAACACATGTCTTCCAAAGAGGCAGTTCCCTCAGTAAAAATGAACAGTTGTAGGGGCCTATGAAGAGGGAGCTTGGAAGGAGGGTGTATTCCAACATCGTTTCTACCTCTTGGGTTTACACTGGTCCTCCTCCTACTCCTCCTCCTCCTCCTCCTCCTCCTCGCCACCCCTGCGAGGCGGGGCTTTATCCATATCCACCGCCTGAGAACCGACGTCCTGAGGACCCAACGGGCGGTGGATGTGGATATATGCTGGCCCCAGGGGCCAACATACATCCGTATCCACTGCCTGTGCATCCACAAATCGACCTCCGGGCAGCGGTTTTGTGTAAATCCCCGCCTCGCCCCCACCCTCCCTCCCCGAGATTCCCACCATCAGCCAGCCCCAGCCGTCTGTCGGGTACGGCTCGAGGCCCAACCCCATGGCGAGGACGATCGTGACCGCCTGCAGCGGAGGGCAGGACAGGGAGGGGTGAAAGGAGGGGAGAGTCGGGGGAGGAACGAGGGAGGAAAGAAGAGGGAGAGGTAGGGGCGAACGAAGGAAGGGGGAGAAGGAACGAGAAAGGAGAGGGCATCAACTCTCGTGACCGCCTGGGAGAGATGAAGACGGGGGAGAAAGGAGGACGGCGGAGCGGGGGAGAGGGAGAGGGGGAGAGGGGGGGAGAGAGGGGGAGGGGGAGGGGGCAAAGTTAGTGCGCTCGCGCCATGTCTGACATCCTGCCCGCGCTGATGTTGCCTGTGTCCGCCAAAGCATGTCGTGGCGGACGTGGGAACTCCTGAGAGGACCCCACCGTGAGAGGGGCATCGAGCGAGGAGGAGGGGAGATGGAGGGAGGGAGGGAGGGAGAGGGGGAGAGCAAGCTTGGTGCGCTCGCGCAGTATCTGACATCCTATCCCTCCCTCCCACCCCTTGGGGAGACCAAAAAGTGCCGATACCGCTGCTCCCCGGACCTCTCGCAGGGTGCGTTCTGACCATGCATTTCGAGGCGAATCCAGCGGCGCCGACGAGGGCCTCCCAGGAGGCCGAACAAGGGAAGAATGGGCGAAGGGTGGCGGTGTGGGTACCTTTTCCTCCTCCGAATCCCTCCCGTTCTAGCATCAGGTCGGGCATGTCCTCCTACAGGCGGACTTTGAAAGAAAAATAACGAATACCCATAACATATTCAAAACATGCTCAACAATGATATTGTCAAAGTTTAAAAAAGCGCCCCCTGCCTATTTTTACTATGTTTGACTATTTCTTCTGTACGGAGACACGCCCGGCTTAATTCTAGCACGGGGGAAGCGGGTCCTGGGGGAAACGGGACCTGGACCCCCGTCCCTTCCCCCGGGACGAAATCCTCATCCCGAGCCGTTTCCTGATGGTCCCGAGCCCCGCGGAGGGCCCCGAGAGTCCGAAAAAAAAAGGCCCCGTTTCCCTTGGAAGCGTTTCCCTTTTCCCCGTTCCCCTTGGACCCTTGGAAGCGTTTCCCCGTTCCCCGAAAATATAACCTCAGGACCCGCTTCCCTTGGAAGCTGGCTTCCCCCCTGGCGACCGACCCCGACACCCATCCCTTCCCACTGGAGGCGCGGCATCGAGAGGGAGGGCGGCGGGGGTGGAGGGGGGGGGGCTGGGCCTCCCGGGGAGGCCGAACAGAAAGGGGAAAACGGGCGAATGGTGGCGGGGTGGGTGCCTCTTCCCAGTGGAGGGAGGGAGCCGCATCGAGGGGGAGGAGCGGCGTGGATAGAGGCATCCTAGACTAGAAGAAGGAGAGACTAAACGCCATAAGCAGAAACTTTTGGCGCTGCGCGCGGATGTCTTGGATCTGCGCCAAGCCCCCCTCCCTCGAGCGCTGAGCGTGCCAGGGGCGGCGCTGGAGGCACTGCCGGGGGGCGCAGCGCGGATCCAAGAAATCCGCGCGGAGCGCCAAAAGTTTATGTTTATGGCGTTTTTTCTTTTGTCGATTGATGGGGTCCGAGTAGATGGGTTCGAAGGATCGCGCCGCATCGCCAAAATGCATCGGCGATGCATCGGCAACGTGGCACTTTGCGAGCAGTAGGCACTCGCTCGGTGAGAGCAGGGAGGGGGGCCTCTCAAAGGCCCCTGGGGGCTCCTGGCAGGGCTTCGTGGATGCCTGGAAGGGGGGTGGCTCTGATTTGGACGCCCGAAGATCGACAAGCGCGTTCCACTACTCGCAGAGCAGCTACTCGCAAATGGCCTGGATCCGCCGCGAAGGATCGACGATCCGTGACATCTCGAGGAAGTGGTGCTTGTCTGCACGTTTGCGAGCAGGCACTGTGCGAGCAGTGGAACGCCGCCCAGCGGGGGCAGGAAGGGGGGCCCCCTCAGAAGGCCCCAGGGGGCTGCTGGCAAGGCTTCTCGGATGCCAGGGGGTGGGGGGGGGCTCTGACTTAGACGCCCGAAAGGGGTACAGGGCAGTTCTTAGGATTTTAATACATGATTAATGTACGAATAATTTCATGCATGAACTCATCGTTGCTTTTACCTGCAATTTTAATACATGATCCGCACGCGGAGCACGTATTAAAAACAGCACTGTATGGAAAAGAGAAGGCACAATGCCCCACAACAGATGCGCTCCCAAACCAACAGCGGCCGCGGTGGGGCAGGCGGCCCCCTGTGTCGAATGGGCACAGGCCGCGGCGACACCGACAGCGTGAGTCCTGCGCACAATGCGCAAGAACTGCTGTCGGTCCTTCTGCCCCTTCTTTCCGGACCCGCTTCGACCGCCCCGATCGGACGAGGCCCCCCCCTGCTTCTGGGAAGGCCCCCCCGCCCTCTTGGGGGGCCTCCCCCCCCTTGCACCCCCCCCCCATGTGCGCGCCACGACACCGCGGTGAACCCATCGGCGTGGCACTGCTGAAGAGGCGCCGTGGGCGCGGAGCGCGCCCGGAGGAGCGGCCTCGCAGAGGGAGGGCTGGGAGGGCTGGAGGAGGGCCGGAGCTGGAGACCTGGAAACGAGCACCAGCGTCAAGACAGAGGGGAGTACCTCCCCCAGGTGAGGATGAGATCCTGGATGTGGGTGCTGGTGGTGGTCTTGAGACCACTTGGGGGGCCTGGATATTGCCACCACCGCTGAGATCCTGGTCCTCCTCCCCCGGTGGAGGCACGCCGCCGACATCGGTGTTGGTCCCAGCCTCTGCCCAGACCTCCGAAAGGAGGGCGCCGGCGCGGCGCGCAGGCGAAACAGGGCGCCTTGTTGAAGTTGCCCGCGAAGGCCGTGTGCGTGGCCGACAGCCGCTGCACGATGCCGTACTTCAGCAGGTTGAACCCAAGGGCGAAGACGCCCGACAGGAGGGCCTGCGCCCGGCCTCCGCCTCCTCCTCCGCCCCCTCCCCATCCACTCCTCCTGCTCCACCTCCTCCTCCTCCTCCTCCTCCTCCTCCTCCACCTCCCCCTCCACTCCTCCTCCTCCTCCTCCTCCTCCTCCTCCTCCTCCTCCTCCTCCTCCTCCTCCTCCTCCGCCTCCGCCTCCGCCTCCGCCTCCGCCTCCGCCTCCGCCTCCGCCTCCGCCTCCGCCTCCGCCTCCGCCTCCGCCTCCGCCTCCGCCTCCGCCTCCGCCTCCGCCTCCGCCTCCGCCTCCGCCTCCGCATCCGCCTCCGCCTCCGCCTCCGCCTCCGCCTCCGCCTCCGCCTCCGCCTCCGCCTCCTCCTCCGCCTCCTCCTCCTATCCTCCTCCCCCATTCCTCCTCCTCTTCCTCCTCCTCCTTCCTCCTACTCTCCTCCTCCTCCTCCTCCTCCTCCTCCTCCTCCTCTGCCTCTCTGCCTCCGCCTCCGCCTCCTCCTCCTCCTCCTCCTCCTCTTCTTCTTCTTCTTCTTCTTCTTCTTCTTCTTCTTCTTATTATTATTATTATTATTATTATTATTATTCGTATTAGTCTTATTATTATTCTTCTTATTCCTCTTCTTGTTAGTATTAATATTATTAGTATTAGTATTCTTCTTATTCTTATTATTATTAGTATTCTTATTACTATTCTTATTATTCTTATTCTTCTTATGATTATTATTCGTGTTCTTATTATTCGTCTTAGTCTTCTTCTTATTCGTATGATTCTTATTAGTATTATTCGTATTATTCGTATTATTCGTCGTATTCAGATTCTTATTATGCGTATTATTATTATTCTTATTATTCTTCTTATTCTGCTTATTCTTATTATTATTATTCTTATTATTAGTATTCGTCTTCGTCTTCTTATTATTCTTCTTATTCTTATAACTATTATGATTATTATTATTCGTCGTCTGCTTCTGCTTCTTCTTATTCTGCTTATTATTCTGCTTATTCGTCTGCTTCTTCCTCCTCCTCCTCCTCC